CCAGGTCCCTGGTGCTGTGTGGCAGCAGTGCTAACCACTGAGCCAACGTGCCACCCCATGGTTAGTAAAACACATTTCACCTTTAACAAATCCATTCTGACTTTCCTTAATTAATTCAGCCTTGTCCATAAGACTGTTAATTCTGTCAGGGAGCATCACCATTTCTAACTTTATGATAGACAAGAAATCATGGATGAAGCAGCTGAGCCTCTCTGCTCCTATGATGCTGCTTGGCCTGCTGTGTTCATCCAGCCCTGTAAGCCTCTCTGCTCCTATGATGCTGTTTGGCCTGCTGTGTTCATCCAGCCCTGCACCTTGTTGTCAGCCTCTCTGCTCCTATGATGCTGCTTGGCCTGCTGTGTTCATCCAGCCCTGCACCTTGTTGTCTCGGATCCACCAGCATCTGCAGTTCCTACTATCTCTAACTTTGATCTCTGTCACTTTTGTTCTTGAGGCATTTGCAAATAAAATCCCACAAATAGCAACTGAGATGAAGGATCAGTCGATGCATTTTAGTGGTGTTGGTTGAAAGATGAATGTTGAACTTTCTTTGAAAATGTGTCTTGGAATCTTTTTATGCTCATCTCAACTGGAATTTAATGAGTTTGATGTTCCATTCAAAAATCAGTAGCTCTAACAATGCAACAATCTCTCAATGCTCTGAAATTACTATCTGCATAACGTACTGAAATCCCTGAGTGAGACAGTCGTCTTACACTCAAGGTGAACTGCTCCTGGTTTATCAAGCAGACATGACATTATTAACCATCTTATTCATATCCAATTGAATATCAACTATTGAATTGAGAATTATAAATATGAGAGAAATTTATTGGTGAGTGAAAATTAGTAGATAATATATTGTGTATTTCTTCCTGTGGGTTATTAGGCAAGGTGGTTGCAGCTCTTTAAACTAGTGGAAAAACAATACCAGGATCAGATTTTGTCTCAGCAGGACCAATACCAATGTCAGATCCAAGTGAGTAAAGGATACCAATTTTTATTGTTACTTTCACAAAAATGTTTTAGATTTATATTTTTGATGAGTAAATTGAGCTCAGTAAGGGGAGGAACTAATTGTGACTCTTCATTGGGCACCCGTTGCTTATATCAAATACTCTTAGATCTCTGATTACAAAGGTAAATGCAGAAGAAGTCTTTTGCTTTTCTTAACGTGAACATTTTCCATTTACACCAGTTACAATTGTCACTTCGCTTTCTTCCTATTCTTTGTGTTTCTCTGATTTGATTAATAATTTGATGAAAATTAGGGATAGTATTGTGGTCTATTGGTGCTCTCTTAAAAGCATTTAAGACTGTAAACATCGTTGTTAAGATTCGATAGTGGGATATAACAAAAGCTCCATGGTTATGTGATCCAAGTTAACATGTTTATTAGCGATTATAGCAGCAATAAATATATTAAGCAGTAAATTTATATATAAAGTGGTAAATATATGTTAAGCAGTAAATATATATTGACAACGAGTTTCATTCCCTTCTGCCCTGCTTTATGATGACCAGTCAAGAGAAACTGGGGTTCCTGGTATGCTATCCCAGTCCAAGACAAAGTCTGATAGCAAGTAACACATGCGTTATGTTAGCATCAAGTCTTGCTGCCTTCTTGCAGTCGCAAATCCCAGCCCGATATGACGTCTAATGAATGGGGCAAAGTCCCTGATATTAGTACCATTCCGAATCTAAGATTACGTGCTATATCACCATTTTGTGGTTTCAGTGCTTTTCAGACATTCCATTATAAGAAGACCATCTCCAGGTGGCTGTGTTTAATGGCCTCATAGGATAATTCTCACAGACCGTTTAGTGTCACATGGTCACCTCTCAGTCAAAACAGACTTTTTCACATACTTTTCCACTTTATTTCAATTGCTCATCATCATGTCCAATTAACCCTTAACGATTTTCCTTGCTGTATGAGTCTGTGATTAATCCTTAACAATCTGGTTTGAAGATATTTTTAATCCTACCACTTCGGTCATTTTATATTTCAACAAAAATTGTAGTACTAACTGTTTAGGTCTCAGTTTTAGTGTGGCATAACATGGTATTCATGACAATGCTACATCATTCTATGTTTGCCAATTATAGAGCAGTTTCACCAGAATTTTGTATTGAACATTCCAGAAATGGTGATGATGCCAGTACCTGAGTGATAACAAATGGTTTCATAACAATAGATTGTTTTCATCTCTCTCACATTGCCCTAGTGCATTAATGTGCTGTGCTGAGGTAGAAGTTCAGATGTCTTGAAGTACGATAAGGAGGGAGGGATATGGAACATGTGACATTATTACAATGATTTAATTTGATAAATACAAGTATAATTTTAATATTCTGTGTTTCCACATGATTACTTTGGAACCTTTTATTTTCCCTTTCCCCCACCAATCCAAAAAGAAATTTCTTGAGAGCGCTGTCCCTCCAATGTGGTGGTGAAGAAATAGTAATGTTTATTTCTTTCATATCACATGCTGGAAATGTAATTAGTAATTTCTTTTAGCGCTCTGTACAACTTAATGTGTGTGTAAGATTGCTGTTTGCAATGCATCCACCCAGTGTAATTCAGGACATTATTGGAGACTGGATATAGGTCGAAGTGGGATTGTAAATATGTTGTCAAGTTTATGTAAAGAGGTAACATCCTTTAGATTAAACTTAAAAGTGTTGTGCACTGTCCAGTCATTTACCAGTTGAAATGTTTATCATTGCTGGGTTCTGTATTCAGTGTAGCCATTCTCATTGACATTTGCCAGGTAGGGATAGTCATGTTTCCTTTACATAGCTATAAATTAAAATTTTATGGAGTGATTTAGAAAGTATTGAAATATTGTAGATATATGCAGTTATATAAAGTGGTATTGTAACATATTTGCAGCATTCAGTTTGCCCGATCCTCCATAACAAATCTGAATTATAAATTATGCAATTGCGTTCAAAAAATTTGATATTATGGACAAGGGAGAGTTGAACTCTGCAAGTAATGTGACTTATAATATTGTCAATGTAGCAACTGCCTCTTGGTATATTTTCTTCTGTTATTTCTAGCTTATTCAAGATGAAATCAAAGCACTAATTCAGTTGCAAAATGATATTGGTCTTGGACACTCCACAGCCAGGTTACCATCCTTTACAAAACTCATAAGTGATACAACTGAATCCTGTTTTCTTAATGGCCACTGCCTGGAGGAACTGGAATGTAAAATGGAATCTGATGTACAATCTGACTGCAGTGAAACAGAAGAACAAGTAATGGCTAGCAATGAATGCAATCTTGAACAGAAAGAACTTCAGGACAACATGCCGCTGACCAGTGGATATGGAACATTTTCAGCATCAATGCAATCTGATTTTCATGGTATCGGTACAGGGCATAATTCTAAATTGAATACTGAAAACAGTAAACAGAATATGAAGGAAAATGATCCAGTCCAGCTCCATAATCTATCCCGTTTTCCTCCTCCAAAAGAAAGTGGACAGCCATCAGTGGCTTTTGCTACTGCTAACGAGTACTCTGTCACAAGCAAACCAACTCAAGGCCTGAGGACTAATCCAGAAGAGAGTAGCAACAAATCCAGTTTGGAAGTGACAGCTGCACCTGAGGGTCTGCTGGGAAAGCAGAATAAGGTTAATGGGTATGTATCACTGGTTTGAATAATAAAAAAGGGAAGCATGAAAAATAGGAGCAGGCTTTTTGGCCCTTTGAGCCTGCTCTGCGATTCGTTATCATCATAGCTGATCATCCAACTAAGTATCCTGTTCCTGCTTTCTCCCCATACCATTTAAGCCCTTAACTCCAAGAACTACCGTTTTCTGTGGCAGAGATCCCCACAGGCTGACCACTGTCTGGTGAAGACATTTCTCCTCATCCCACTCCTAAATAGCCTACCTTGGGTTATGACCCATGTTTCTGGACTCCCCAGTCATTGGAAACATACTTTTGCCAAACATGACGCCAAATTAAACTAATCCGTTTGCCTGCCCTTGGCCCATATTCCTCCATTCCTTGAATATTCATGTGCTTATCTAAAAGTCCCTTAAATTCCCCTATAGTATCTGCCCCCTCCACCACCACTCTTGGCAGCGTGTTCCAGACTCCTACCACTCTCTCTTTTTAAAAAAAACTTGCCCCTCACGTCATCTTTGAACTTTCCCTTTCTCACCTTAAATGCATGCCCCCTAGTATTAGACATTTCAGCTCTGGAAAAAAGAATCTGACTGTCAACCCCATCTATGCATGTCATAACATTATAGACTTCTATCAAGTCTCCACTCCACCTCCGCCGCTTAAAGAGAAAGCAACCAAAGTTTTTCTAGCCTCTCCTTATCGCTCTTATCCTCTAATCTAGGCAGCATCCTGGTAAGCCTCAGCTGCACCTCCCCAAACTCTCCACACCCTTCCGACAATGTGACGACCAGAATTAAATGCAATATTAAGTGTGGCCTGATCAAAGTCTTACAAAGCTGCAACATGACATCCTGACTCTTGTACTCAGTTCCCTGACCAATAAAGGCAAGCATGCTATTTGCCTTCTTAACCACCCTATCTACTTGCATGACTGCTTTCTGGGAGCTATGGACTTGAACCCCAAGATCCCTCTGTACATCAGTGCTGTTCAGGGTCCTGCCATGAACTGTATATTTTTTCTTAGCATTTGATCTCCTGAAATGCAGTACCACACACTTGACTGGATTCAACTCCATTTGCCATTTCTCTGCCCATTTCTGCAACTGATCCATATCCTGATGCATTCCTTGTCAACCTTCTACACTATCCACAACTCCATCGACCTTTGTATTGCCTGTAAACTTACTAACTCACCCATCTAAATTTTCATCCATGTCGTTTATATATATATTGCAAACAGCAGAGTCCCAGTACGGATCCTTGCGGAACACCATTAGTCATGGACCTCCAGCCTGATAAACACCCTTCCGCCACTACCCTTTGAATTCTATGAGCAAGCCAATTCTGAATCCACGCGGCCAAGTCACTGTGGATCCTATCATGATGGACCGTGTCAAAAGCCTTACTAAAATCCATGTAAAAAATATCCATTGCTGTAGCCTCATTGCACCTTCATCACCTCGTCGAAACATTCAATCAAGTAATAAGACAATAGAAAACCAGGTCTTGTTGCATCTCCGTCACCTCTCTCTCTCTTTCCCCCCCCAAATCTATTGCCATTCATTGAATAATCTGAAAGCTTTGTGTTGTTTGCTAACTTGGAGATATTATATTTAGTTCCCCATCTAAATCATTAACATACATTGTGAACAACTAGGGTCCAAGCACTGATCCTTGCGTTACTGGCAGGAAGAGCTAATACTTTAAATTAACTGCCTCTCCAATATAAATTCCACATTGTCCAATTAGATACTGATGATGGAAAGTCTTTTGGAAGGCAGTTTATAATCTGTTGTTATTTTTAACCAGGCATAAGTGAATTTTAACAAATAGCTTTTTTTATTAGCTTTTTGAGGCCTTATTCTCGTATAAAACTTGGTGGTGTCTAGCAATGGTTGGATAGCAGGACTACATGTTTGCAGCCCCTGCTTGTGGGACTCTACATAGCATAGGATGGTTATTATGGCATAGAGGGAGGCTATTCAGTCTCTTGAGATGATATTGGCTCTTTGCAGAAACCATACAGCTAGTAACGCCCCCAAACTGGACACCAACACCTTTCAAATTTCTTGACTTCAGGTCCTTACCAAATCCCTTTTGAAAGCTATGTTTGAATCTGACACTACAGTCGACTCAAACAGTGGATTCCAATTCTTAACTACTCACAGTGCACAGGTTTTCCTCGTGTTGTCTCTGGTTCTTGCAATTATGAAAAATCCAAGACCTCTGGCTCTCTACCTCTTCGCCAAATGAAATACTTTATTTTTATCTAAACTCTATTGAAACCTCACATAGTTTTTAATATCTCTACCAAATTTCTTCACAATCTTTCTAATTTCTTTGAAGATTTTTGTCTTGCAATCATTAGGACATTGAATAAAAATACCAATTCAAGGGTAAAACCTTTGTTTATACTGGTTTAGAGGGATTCACTGCAGGAATTATGCTGACAACAAATTTAGTATTGTTGTTTGGGCTTGCAGTGTGGTGCACTTGCATGAACTTGAAGCTACGTATAATAACACACACTGGGTCCCATTCTTTGTAGATAGGAAGAGCATGTATATTCCCTGTGTCTATTTCAACTCCGTAACATAGGTGACAACCCTTTGCTCATTCGGTTTTCAGAACAATAAGTGTCAATCTGCTTACTTTAAAATTTAAAACCTGGCTGTTAACTGTCAGTCAGCATTAATTTTCTCTCAGTATAAAACTTGGTAGTGTAAAGCAATAGTTTTATAGCAGGGCATGGCATTCTCCATGGCAATACCTATATTGATCTGAGTCCACTTACCAACTAACCAGCAGTCTCCTCTCATTCAGTATAAATGTGGTTTTCCCCTTGAATTAGTATTCTTGTGAAAAGCACTGAGAAGTGCAAGACGAAAAGTTGCAACAAAATGTCTATTTTCAGTAGTACTCAAATTCTGTGCTGTCAAATGACTCTGAAAATGTACTTATTTGCCTCCAATATGTACGTTCCTGGACCCTCTTTACAATTTTAGTTTATTGCTGTTCCTTGTTCTTCTTCTTAATTCACATTCCTGTACATCAAGTTTTAGTAGCCATATGTTCACTCATTCCACCAATTCATCCATGTTCTCTTAAAGCTGTGAACTTTCCTCAGTATTCACGACTGTTTCAAATTTTGTATCATCTGCACATTTTGAAACTGAGCCTTGGATATATAGGCAAAGTCATTAACATAATTCAAGAACAACAGTTGCCCAAGTACTGATCCCTGGAGAGCATGACTGTATATTTTCACCCAATCTGGAAAAACAACTGTTCACTGCCACTGCTGGATATGTGAGTTGAAGCTATCATAACATGTATTTTTACTTTAACTAACACTCGCACTGTGCAATGTTTTATTTTTATTTCCCAAACGAGAAAAGGATTAGTTGCGGATGATAAGTTCTTTTTGGTTTAAATTATCAATGCTCTGAATTTGCAGTCACCTGATGAAGTACTTGGACATGAATGTTTAGATTGGGCCTGTGCTTAGTAATCATAATTATCCTCTCCAGCACTGCTAGAAAAATCATCCATCTTGACACTGCTAGAATCCTGACTGGAACAGGATTCATCATATATGCATGATGAACTTCCACTGGCAGCCTGGGGCTATGGATAGTGATGCTAGAGGCTCTAACTTCTTCACATCACACAGCTGATTAAGAATTTTTCCTGTTGTCACCTACAATTGACATTTGTTGGAAAGATTTATGAGTTTATACTCAAGCTGTTTGGCTGTGTTATGATCTTGGCCGTCAGGTATTGAAGCGGAACTTGAACCCAGAGCTTTTTGGTCAAAAGTAGGACCACTAGTTATAAAAGACCTTTCAACATGTCAAGGTAGCAGAAAGCAGGGACCCAATTTTATGGGCAGTTAGTTAGCTTAACCCAGTTTACAAGGGCATATCTGATGGCATTTAATTTTCACTTTTTAAAAGGTTGACATCATGGGCACAAAAAGTTAGACAAAAGAATCAGAAATCAAAACTTGTAAATGGAGCTGGATTGGAGAGAATGGAGCCACAGGGATGTGGGCAGCCTCAGGAGATTGAAGCACCAGAAGGTGTAAGTGTCAATGTCGTTAAGTTACAATTAAAGCTCCCCTTCTGGGAGTTTTCTCTGTATATTTATTAAATCTGCATCCGTTATTTATTCACATCTTTTATAGCAGAGAGCTGCCTCAAAGTTTTTATTGTTATTAATTTTTTTTTTCTCTGTTTCATAACATTCTGTGAACTTATACTGCAACTGACCAAATCCTGTTTTAATAACATTTAACAGACTAAGTCTTAATTGCTTCCTTTTGTTACCATTTTCACTTTGCAGAGTGAGCTGATCAATGTTGGAGATTCATCACAGAGTCATTGCTGTTTTGATACAGCAATGTATGCTGCAGGTTGTAACTAAATTCCCAGAGCATTTTTGAAATTCAGCTATCAGTTAGTTTCTGAGAACAATGAAACTGTATGTATAGGACTTTGAAACTCATTCCTCTCTGATACAAGTGTGAACTTGTCCTGTGTTTTACACAGAATTTCTGAAATTTATACTTAATGGAGGAAACCTGTCAATTAAAATTCAGTTATTGTGCTTTGTGAAGTTTTGACTGGTATTTGGTACTTCATAGTTAGCTAGTTTTTACAAGATTTATCAATATCTCTTGTGTTTTATGTAAACTTTAATTAACCAAGAGTCATCTGTATTTAACAGCTAGTTTCTAGAAATTGTTGATGCTATAGAACCATTGAAATGGTGTAGCACAGCCATCTTGTACAAAGGTACCCAGATTCCCTTTCTAATCCCAACTTCCTGCGGATGGCCCATAGCCCTGCAGCTTACAGTAGTTAAGGTGAAGATCCAGGTAGGAACTGCTGACGCTGGAGAATCTGAGACAGCAAGGTGTAGAGCTGGATGAACACAGCAGGCCAAGCAGCATCAGAGGAGCAAGAAGGCTGACGTTTCAGGTCTGGACCCTTCAGAAAAATGAAGAAGGGCCCAGACCCGAAACGTCAGCTTTCCTGCTCCTCTGATGCTGCTTGACCTGCTGTGGTCATCCAGCTCTGCACCTTGTTATCTCAGGTATTTTTAAAAACAGTTTATGGTGTCCACCACCAACTCGGGTAGCTGATTTCAGATATCCACCACGTTTTGTGTATTTTTAAAAAAAAAAAAAGCTTTTCTCACACCCCTCTGATCCTTCTGTCACTTAACTTGAATCGATGACCCCCCGGTTTTTGAACTCTTCACCAATGGAAACTGGTTGCTACTGTCTACTCTATCTTTATCCCTCACAATTTTGTATGCCTCAATCATGTCACCCTCTTAGCCTTTTATGCTCCAAGGAAAATAACCCCAGCCTCTCCAGTCTCTCCTTGTAGCTCCAATTCTCTAGCCCTGGCAACATTCTTGTAAATCTTCTCTGATTGTCTCGAGCAATTATGTCCTTCCTGTAATGTGGTGATCAGAATTGCAAGCAATACTCCAGTTGTGATCTCACCAGTGTCTTGTATGGTTTCATGATTATCCATATTTTTGATTCTAAACTTCTGGCAATGAAGGAGAGCATTCCATATGCCTTCTTTACAAAATTGTGCTGCTCCCTTTAGAGACCTGTGCACTTGCATACCAAGATCTCTCACTTTATCTACTCCTCTCACTATATTCTCATTTACTGTGTATTTCTTTATACTGTTTGACCTCCCTAAATGCATTACTTCTCACTCATCAGAGTTGAACTCCATCTGCATTTTCCTGCCCACTTCACCAACCCATCTGTATCATTTTGGAGCTCAAAGCAAATTTCCCAATCGTGCCCCCTCGTGTTCAAGTCTAAATCGTAATGTGTAAAACATACAGCAGGGTACCAACACTGAGGCCTGTGGAGCACCGCTTAGAGTCAGAGTCGTAGAGTCATAGAGATATATAGTATGGAAACAGATCCTTCGGTCCAACTCATTCATGCTGACCAGATATCCTAAAAAATCCATTTGCCAGCATTTGTCTCATATGCCTCTAAACCCTTCCGATTCATATACCCATCCAAATGCCTTTTAAATGCTGTAATTGTACCTGCGTCCACCAATTTCTCTGGCAGCTCATTCCATACGCACCATCCTCTGGGTGAAAAGGCTGCCCCTTAGGTCCCTTTTAAATCTTACCCCTCTCATTTTAAGCCTGTGCCCTCTAGTTTTCGACTCCTCCACCCCAGGGAAAAGACCTTGTCTACTTAGCTATCCATGCCTCTCATGATTTTACAAACCTCTAAGTTCACCCCTCAGCCTCTGATGCTCCAGGGAAAATAGCCCCAGTCTATTTAACCTCTCCCTATAGCTCAAACCTTCCAACCCTGGTAACATCCTTGTAAATCTCTTCTGAACCCTTTCAATTTTCACAACCCCTTTCCTATAGCAGGGAGACCAGAATTGTACGCAATATTCCAACAATGGCCTAACCAATGTCCTGTAAAGCTGCAACATGACCTTACAACTCCTATACTCAATGCACTGACCACTTGAAATAGCTTTCCACTCACAAGAGCAGCCATTGAGCATGACCCTTTGTTTTCTGTTACAAAGCCAACTTTGGATCCAATCCAAAACAATTCACTGTATCCTACGGACTTTTATTTTTTTTAATCAGTCTTCCATGTCGGATTTTGTCAAATGCCTTACTAAAATCCATGTAGACAACAACCATTGCACCACTGTGATACAGAAGTAGGAATATTTTTCTTCAAAATAAGTTTTTAATCAATATTTTTGATGAATTATTAAATGAAAATTTTAAAAATTGACCTACATGTATTAATTAAGTAATTCAAATGCGCAATTAAAAGTGCCATCAAAACTGCCAATTCCCTTGCCAACACGAGGACCACAAGAGTTCAGAAAGGCCCACCATCGACCTCTCTGGGCAAGTGTGGAAGGGCAATTCAAGCAGTAACACCTGTAGTCTGAGAAGCAGTTGAAAGAATAGTATTAAGCAATTTAAGGTTACTTTTTGCAATAATTTGTGTAGATCGAAGTGTTTTACACTTAAACTGCTTCTTTCAGGTTAATTTGCTATCTGCAGGCTCCTCTCAGAACTCCTTCTACCTCAGCAGACCTTCTAGCAGTCCAAACTCTCTGGTATCTAATATTTCAGGTAAATATTTATTTAAACTTTTCTGACCCTTATAAAATAATCCAGAAATTTAAATTGTAATTTATTCTTGGGTCTTCCTTAGCCTGTTTAGAATTACATCCATGTTGCTAACAAGCTGTTTTCAGTCCTTTGCTGCACCTTCTTATACAACTGCACATTCTTATACAACTGGATGTTTGGAAAATGACGTACTGTCCAGACAGAATGGATGCTTGTTTTCCATGAGGCTTTTTTTAGGTATTGCTGCATCTCGTAGTTTGACTGAGTATGGTGTAGGTCACGGGTTTAAACAGTATGGGATCGGGCCTGTGATGTTTTCATCCAGGATGGTGCAAGTTGATGTTCAGCATAATGTACAACTAGACTATCATATTGAGCATTTTTCTTATTAGTAGGAATGTATCTTTTAATAGAGAATTTAAATTTTTACATCTGAATTGATGTTTGTGAATGCTTTGGAAAATAAATTCCAATCAGCCTGTGGTGTATATGAGATTAAATATCTCCCTTGTTTCTCAATGCTATTTTTATATTTATGATCTGTAGTTGCTCACTTCCAACTTATATTAATGATATAGATAAGGGATCTAAATGTAATATATCCAAGTTGCAGATAAAAGTTGGTGGGTGGATGAGCTGTGTGGAGTATGCAGTGATGCTACACTGTGATTTAGCCAAGTTGATGAGTGGTAAATGCATAGCAGAAGAAGTTTAATATGGATAAATGTGCGATTATCCACTTTGGAAGCAAAGACCTGAAGGCAGACTATTATTTGAATGGCAATAGATTGGGAAAGGGAGAAATGTGATGAGACCTGGGTGTCCTTGTATATACCAGTTGCTGAAAGTAAGCATGCAGTATCTGCAGGTGGTTCTTGAAGAAGGCAAATGGTCTTTATAGTGAGATGATTTGAATACAGGAGCAGGATGTCTTGCTGCAGATGATATCAACAATGGAGGAGAAACTATTGACTGTGCCACTAATCCTTTGATTCACACTATTGGAAGGATGTAATTACACTGGAGTGGGTGCAGAAGAGATTCACCAGGAAGTTGCCTGGGGTGAAAGGTCACTGTTATGAGGACTGACTAGATAGATTGAGTTTGTTTTCCTTGAAGCAGAGGAGGCTAAGGGGGATCTGATTGAGGTATACAAAATTGAGTCATAGACTGGGTAGATTATGAGAATCTTTTCCCCCCTATGGCAGATGTGTCTAAGATCAGAGGGCATAAGTTTAAGGTGAAGAAGAAATGGTCTAGAGGAGATCAGAGGAAACATTTTTTTTCACTTAGAGGGTGGTAGATTTTGGAACGCGCTGTCTGAGAAGGTGGTGGAGGCAGATATTCTCAAAACATTAGATAAGCATCTAGTCGAGCACATACTATGGTATTGTATGCTATGCACCAAGTGCAGATAAATGGAATTAGAGTAGTTTGGCGTTTGTTGGTCAGCATAGTCCTGATGGGCTGAAGGCCCTGTTCTATGTTCTACGACTCTAAAGAAAGAAGCAAAGGTCTAGCTGTTCCTGTGTGATTTAAAAATATGTATTTGGAAGTTGAAGAATCTCCATATAATTTCTTAATTTGTTTTCTAATATTTACAACTTTAAACCAGGTTATCTTTGAAAACTCATTGTGCCTTCGTTAAATTTAGTTGTTTTTATTATAGGACTTTCTTATTGGAGGCTGGATGAAAAGGATCTGTACCGGTCTTTACCAAAGAACAAGGAGGCTGACCTTGCTGACACATTTTCTTCCATCAAAACTGTTGATAGATGTCAGGCATGTAGAAGAGGTTTTATTAATTGATCAAATGTTATTTGGTTATGTAAAATAGAACATTTCTGAACCTCAGTAAGAGCAAGCAACGTACTTGCAGACTATACTTAATGATCAGACTTTGACAGCCCTTTCTGTAGTAAAGAATTCCACAGATTCATTGCCCTCTGAGATAAGAAATTTCTCCTCATCTCTGGTTTAAAAGAGCAGCCCCTTTGTGTGAGATTATGTCCTCGACTCTCCCACATGGGAAACGACTTTTCTGCACCTACCCTAAGCATCTGGTTATTTTCAATAAAGTCACCTTTCGTTATTCTAAATTCCAGTGAGTACAGGCCCAACCTACTCAACCTGTCCTTGTAGAACAGCCCTGCCATACATGGTTATGGTACCTCCGTATTACACACAAACCGTTGTTGCTATTCATCCTCCCAGGCTGATTGTTATCCACTTCTTTGTCTGTCAAGCTGTTCTTCTCTGTCTTGGGCTCTATCTCCACCCATCTTTTACTCCTTACCACCCGCCATTCCCCCGCCCCCACCCCCCACCCTCCAATCTTCTGCATATAAACCAATCTTTTCCAAGCTACCGTCAGCTCTGACAAACGGCCACTGGACCCGAAACGTGAAATCTGATTTCTCTCCACAGATGTTGCTAGACCTACTGAGCTTTTCCAGCAACTTCTGTTTTGTCTCTCCATACCTGGTATCAGCCAGACCTTCTGTAGACTGCCTATAGTTCTATTATATCTTTACTTGGATAAGGGGTCCAAAACTGTTCACAGTATTTCTGCTGTGGTCTGACTAAATGCTTTGCATAATTTTTGCAAAATCTTCTACTTTTTAATTCCATTCCCCTTGAAATAAAGGCCAATATTCCATTTTTCTTACCTGCTGCTAGCTTTCTGTGATTCATGGATGAGGATTTCTAAATCCTTTTGTGCTGTAGCTTTCTGCAGTCTTTCTCTATTTAAATAATATTCAGCTCGTCAGTTCTTCCTGTCAAAGTGCAAAATCTCACATGATGTTTCTTTTGCCAAGATTTTTTGCCCACATGCTTTACCTTTTTGATATGCCTCTACAGCCTGTTTGTATCAGTCTAAGGGTAAGCAATTTAGCACTGAGATGTGGAGAAATTTCTTCACCCAGAGAGTTGTGAGCCTGTAGGATTCTCTACCTCAAAGCTATCTAGGCCCCTGTATTAATCCTGTTTGATACATCCTCAAAAACTTCTACTAAATTTGTCAAGCACGATTTCCACTTTATGAAGCCATGCTGACTTCACTTGATAATATTATGTGTTTCTAAAATTTTGCTATTACGTTCCTTATAACGAACTCTAATATTTTCCTAATAACTGGTCTATAGCTACCTGTGTTTTGTCTGCTTCCCTTTTTCGATAGAGGTATTACATTGGCAGTTTTCCAATGCTCTGGGACTTTTCCATAATTTAAAGATTCTTGTAAGATTACTATCTGCATCCAGTATCTCTGTAGCTACTGTGTTTATTATCTTGAGATGCATTCTATTGGGTCCAGGGCACGTATTGGTCTTTAACTCCATTAGTTTCCTACTACTTTTTCCCTAGTGATTTTATTTAATTTGTTGCTTCTCCTATTGGCCCTTAATTATTTAGTAATTTTGGAATGTTGTTATTGTCTTCTCTTACGAAGACTGATGCAAAGTACTTATTCGACATTTCCTGGTTCCCCATAATTGTTTCTGCAGCCTCCTCCACTAAAGGAACTGTGTTCATTTTGGTTTATCTCTTCCCTTTTCGCATTCATTTAAATAAGCTCTTGCTGCCTATCTTGATATTATTTGCAAGTTTGCCCCTCAGAGTTTATCTTCTTCCTCTTTTATTTATGAGGTCAACTTTTTTTGGTGTTTTAAACAAAAACTTCTCCATCCTAAGGCTTATCACTAATCTTTGCCACCTTGTATATTTTTTCTTCCAATTTGACACCATCTTTAACTTCTCTGGTTAACCATTGTTGTGCTATGAGGGCTATACCAATATGCGGCACGATGCCTCTCAGTGCGAGGAACCCAGGTTTGATTCTACCCTTGGGCACCTATCTGTTTGCACGTTCTCCCCATGTCTGCGCGGATCTTCTCTGGTGCTTGGCTTCTTCCCACAGTCCAAAGATACGCAGCTTAGGTGAATTGGCCATGCTAAATTGCCCATAGTGACCCAGGGTATGCAGGCTAGGTGGGTTAGCCATGGGAAATGCAGGGTTACAGGAATGGGGTGGGTCTGGGAGGGATGCTCTCTGGGGTCGGTGTGGACTCAATGGGCCGAATGACTTGCTTTCACCTTGTAGGGATTCTGTGATTCTATAGTTGGCTTACCCCTTCTCAAAATCATTGTTTTCGCTGGAATATATCTTTGCTGTGAGCATTGAACGAGTTCCTTCAATATCTGCCATTGTTCATCCATTGTCTTTGGTGCTAAACTCCTTTCCTGGTCCACTGCAACCAGCTCTGCCCTCATTTCTTTGTAATTACCTATTTTAAATTGAGCACAGTTGTTTTTGACCCTAATTTTTCCCATCAAACTGGATGTGAAATTCTATGCTAAATAAGGTTAAGGGAGGAAACAATGGTAAAAAGACAATTATTGGCCTTTCACCACACCCACATGTTGTGGCCGCTGTGTCCTGGGGTCTTTTACTGTGACATCATTTAGTAAACCTGTCTCTTTACAGATCACCAGATCCAATTAGTCTGAATCCTGGTTGGATCCGCAGGTTCTGGGGAACTGTCCCAAATACACTGTGAATTCTTCCTCTGTGAATCTAACTGTCCCATTCTACATGAAGGTTAAAATCACCCATGATCAAAGTATAGTCCAGAGATGTGCAATATAGATGGATTGGTCATGTTAAATTGCTCAGTGTTCAGGGATGTGTAGATTAGGTGGGTTACAGGGAAAAAGGGTGGGGGAATGGGTTTGGGTGGGATGCTCCTCAGGGGGTCAGTGTGGACTTGTTGGGCCGAAGAGCCTGTTTCCACACTGTAGGGATTTATGATCTACTGCTTTTGTTATATACCCTCCTTACTCTCTATCCCACTGTGTATCTTGTGTTAGGGGCCTATAGATTACTTCTACCAGTGTTTTCTTTCCCTTTTCATTTGTTACCTTCACCAGAAGAATTCTGTGTCTTCCTATCCAAGATCATTTGGACTGATTCCTACTTTTATACTTATTCCACCCCGTACCAACAATGCTACCCTACCACCCTTTCTGTCCTCTGTGACCTTTTGAAAAGTTATATACCCTTGAATATTTAGTTCCCAGCTTTGATTTTGTTATAGTCATGGCTGTACAATGGCTATAAGAAGTATTCATTGACCTGGATTTATGCTTCTTTTTTTTTTTTTCATTTATTTTGTTCCAAAAACTGGGTGCATTCAAGTAGAGAGCTAATTTTGCCTTTTTAACATTGTTTTCTGCCTTAACCCTATTTATTGCTGTTTTTCTAGGATTGTGCCTTCTTGCCCTACTTTTGGATATAGTTATCCAAATAGCTGCCTTGTAATGTTGTCATATCCTCTTGCTTTGTAAGCCTACATTTCTCCTCTCCTAGACCCCCCTCACCCAATTAATTTAAAGCCCTTGTTACTGCCCTAGAAGGAAGTGTTCACTGTTAGTCTGAGACCTTTTATGAGGAATGTGGGAACATTGTTTTTATCCCACTGACCATTTTGGGGAAGGCCAGCATATAATACTTATCATTAATTCCACTTGTTTGGTTGGTGCTGAGCTGCCTTCTTGAAACACTGAACAAATAAAGTGTGGGTACATGCAATTGGAGGGGAGTTTGCAAGGGTAGCATTTGCAGCAATCTTCGGCCAGCAGTGCTGAGTGATTGATCCAACTCCACCTCGTCCAGTGGTTCTCCAGCATCACAGATACCAGTCTTCAGCTATTTCAATTCACTCCACAATGGTTGGAAGAATTAGATGCTGCAAAGGATATGGGCCCTGATAACCTTCGGGCAATAGTACTGAAGACTTGTTGCTCCCCTAGGCAAGCTCTTCCTGTGCAGTTACCTGACAATGTGGAAAATTGCCCAGGTATGTTCTGTACACAAAAAACAGGACAAATCCAATTCAGCCAATTGCTGTCCCATCAGTCTCCTCTCAATCATCAGTAAAGCCATGCAAGGTGTCATCAACAGTGCTTTCGAGCAGCAGTTGCTTTGCAGTAACCTGCTCAGTAACACCCAATTTGAGCTCTGCCAGAGTCACTCAGCTCCTGACTTAATTATAGCCTTGGTTCAAACATGTACGAGTGAGCTGAATTCCAGATGTGAGGTGAAAGTGACAGTCCTTGACATCAAGGCTGCATTTGATCGAGTATGGTATCAAGGAGCCCTAGCAAGACTGGAATCAATGGGTACTGGGGCAAACTTTCCGCTGATTGGACTCTTACATTACACGCATGAAGATGGTCATGGTTGTTGGAGGTCAGTCATCTCAGCTCCAGGACATCTCTGCAGGAGTTCCCCAGGGTAGTGCCCTAGTCCCAACCATCGTCACCTGCTTCATCAATGACCTTCCCTCCATCATAAGGTCAGAAGTGGTGATGTTCGCTGATTGTGCAAAGTTCAGCATCATTTGCAACTCCTCAAGACTGTTTCAGTACCTGAGCTGACATTTGAGCTACACAAATGCTGGACAATGACCACCTCCAATAAGAGACCATCTAACCATCACCCTTTGAGATTCAATGTTGTCACCATCCCTGAATCCCTCAGTATCAAATCCTTGGGGTTACCATTGACCAGAAACTCAACTAGAGTTGTCACATAAACACATTAGCTACAAGAAATGGTTGGAAGAACTGGATGCTGCAAAGGATATGGGCATTGACAACCTTCTGGCTGTAGTACTGAAGATATGTTCTCCAGCACTCCAGGTCAGAGACTAGGAATACTGCAGCGAGTAACTTATCTCCTGATTCCACAAATTCTAGCCACCATCTACAAGGCACAAGTCAGGCGTGTGATGGAATGCTCCCCATTTGCCTGGATGAGTGCAGCCGTAACAACACTTAACCAGCTCAATGCCATTCAGGACAAAGCAGCCCACTGACCTGGCACCACATCCACAAGCATCCACTCCATCCACCATAGACGCTCACTAGCAGTGGTGTGTACTATCTACAAAATGCACTGCAGGAATTTGTGGGGAGGCGATGGCCTAGTGGTATTATCACTGGACTATTAATCCAGAGACCCAGATAATGTTCTGTGGACCCGGGTTCAAATCCCGCCGCAGCAGATGGTGGAATTTGAATTCAATAAATATCTGGAATTAAGAATCTAATGATGACTGTGAATCCATGAAAACATGAGGAAACCTAGAAACTTTTTTTCTCAGACTTTTAGCCCACGTTATTAATATGGATTGTAAACAACTGGGACCCAGTGCTGAACATTGTGACACTCTGCTAGCCATATCTGGTATATTTGAAAATGTCCTGTTTATTCTGATTCATTGCTTCCTGTCTGTTAACCAGCCATCTATTCACACTCACACGCTACCCTAATTCCATGAATTATTTTCTTATATGGGACTTAAAAAATCTTTTTTTAAACTTGTTAAACACAACTTCCCTTTCATAAAATCGTGTTGACTTCGATCCTGAAATGATTGTCGAGAGAAAAAACCCATCTGGTTCACTAATGCCCTTTCGGGAAGAAAACTGCCGTCCTTACCTGATCCATCGTGCATGTGACTCCAAATCCACAACAATGTGGTTGACTGTTAACAGCCTTCTGGGAAATCAGGGATGGGCAATAAATGCTGCCTAGCCAGCAATGCCCTCAACCCGTGAATGAATAAAGGAGCACCTTCCAAATGCATGACCACTTCATCTAGAAGGACGAGCAGCAGATATGTGGGAATGCCACCACCTGCAAGTTCCCCTCCAAGTTACTCACCATCCTGCCTTAGAAATATATCATTGTTCTTATACTGTAGCTTGTCAAAATCCTGAAAGCATGTGGGCTGCCGTGGTTCAAGATGGCACCACCTTCTCAAGGGTAACAATGGATGGGCAATAAATGCTGGCCTGCCAGGGATGCCCATGGATGAATATTTTAAAAAAGAAATTTCCAAGCACCCATCGCATGTTCTACTAGATGGTAGAGGTTATTGTTTTGGATGGAGCCTTTTTTGGAACCTTTGGTGAATTATAGCAGTGGAGCTGTAGATCATACACCCTGGTACCACTGTGTTGGTGGTAATAGATGAATGATGAAGGTGGTGAATGGGCTGCTTTGTCAAGTTTCTAGAATGTTGTTTTGAGTTTTACTTGTTCAGACAAATAATGTTCTTTCACACTCTAGACTTGAAACTTATTAATGCTGGACAGGCCTTGATGATTCAGAAGGTGATTCACTTATTGTTGAATTCCCAGCTTCTGAGATGCTCTTGTAGCCATAGTATTTATATAACTCATTGACAGAAAAACTGAACTAGATGAAATGTCCCAAGATGTTGAGGAGCGGAAATCGTCAATGTCAAGTTAGATTCTCCAGTTGTTGGGAGATGGTCACTGCCTGGCACTTGTGAGGTGCGAATATTACTTGCCATTTATCAGCCTGCATATTGTTCAGGTCTTGTTTCATAGCAGCACAAGAGTGCTTATGGAGTTACAAATGCTGCTGAACATTGTGCAGTCACCAATGAACATCTCCACTTTTGACATTCATGATGGGAGAAAGTCATTGATGAAACAGCTTAAAATGGTTGGACCTAGGACACTGAATTTCAGCAATGATGCCTTGGGGCTGAATGATCCCCAACAAGCAAAACCATTTTCTGTTGTACTTAGTGAGTGAAGGGTTTATTCTCCATTTCCTTTGGCTTCAATTTTGCTGGACTCCTTAATTCTGCACTTGGTCAAATGAGGCTGTGATGTCAAGTGCAATCATTCTCATCTCCTCTTTGGAATTTAGTTCTTTTATCCATGTTCTTGCCAAGTCTGCAATGACATCTCGGTTAGGGTAGCCCTGGCTGAACCCAAACTGAGCATTGTGAACAAGTTGTTGTTGAATAAATATCACTTGATGACAATGCAACTTGCGTTGTTTTCTGATGTTTGCAAGAAGACTGATAGTTGGTAATTATTGTATTGGATTTCTCCAGCTTTCTGTGGATTAATCTTCATGGTCAATTTTACATATTGTCCATTAAATGCCAGTGTGTAGAGCTATACTGGAACAGCTTGGCTAGGGACATGGATAGTTCTGGAGAACAAGCCTTCAGTACTACTGATCTTTTCTCGTCGGGGACCAATGCCTTTGCAATATCCGGTGCCTTTCTTTACTTTATCACACGGAATGAATTGAATAGGTTGCACTGATATCATTGGGGACCTCAGGAAGAGCTGGAAAGACTACAGATACTGGAATTGTTTTCCTTGAAACAGAAAAAGTTAAAGGGACCTATTACAGACATTCAGAATTGTAAAGTTTTTTTTTTAATAGAGTTAAGGAGGAAATGTATTCAATGGCAAAACAGTCTAACCAAAGGAATTCCTTTTTGAGATAATTAGCAAAATTAGATGACACCAGGAAAACAATTGTGCTGTAGAACATGCTGCTTGAAAGGGTGTTGGGACTCTATACTTTCAAAAGGGCGTTTGAGGAATGTGTGATGAAGGAAAATTTGAAGGGCTGTTGGGGAAAGGTAAGGGAATGGAATTAATTTAATATCTCTATCAAAGAGCTGAGAAAGGCAATAAGCTAAATGGCCTCTTTCTGTGTTGTATCTTAAAGTGATTTATTAGAAATTATACATAAGGGTTCCCAATTTATGCACGTTCAACTTACGAATGCTTGTATTTACGAATGTGACCCCATACAGGGGTGTATTAATATTAATTTTAAAGATCCAATATATAGTCGTTTCCTCTTTCTTATGAATGGCTATTTTACATTGTCCTGCATTGTGTTCCAACTTGCATGCAAATCGACTTGCGAACAGACTCCAAGGATGGAACTCATTCGCAGCCTGGAGACTGCCTGTAGTGTTAACACCTTAACTTGTAAGTTTCCCATTATAGTGCATAGGTGAGCATTGGTCTATTTGGAAAAATAGAAAATAACTGGCAAGGTCAAAAACCAACAATTAGCTCTGTGAGAGAATTACCTGGTGGTAATCATTGTTATAATACTAAGAATTTTGGCACAGATAATGTCACAGTTGTGAAAGAAATCAAATTTCTTTTTAGCTTCCAGCAGACTCCCGATGGCAAGTCTCTTCACTGCGGGAGATTTATAATGTGAAGCAGAAGGAAAACCAGAGTGTACCTGGCTGGGAATCGAGTTCCCCTCCACGTCGTCAGTCTCCCCCACAGGTAAGACGGTTTTCAGTATCGGCAGCAGTCTGCGCTTGCGCCGTCATCATAGCAACACATCCCAAAGTGCTTTATAGAGAGGGAAGTTAGTGGTGTGCTAGTTGATTTTAGCAAACATGTGTTATGAGAATTGAGACATAACCAAAGAATTAGATTCTACACCTTTTTGAAGTGTAGTCACATGATTGGTTTAAGAACAGAATTTCAGAAAGTAAGGTCAATATTATTACAACTGCTTAAGCAGCAATGGGTGTACAGTAGGTCAGAAATAGAAGAGTGAAAGATGAGGGATTGGATGTGGGCTGGGGAAGGGAGATTTTTAAAAAATCAGGACAAGTCTTCTAAAGTCTATGGCAAAGCTGGAGGTTGGCAAGGCAAGGGTGATGACTGTTGGATATGGCATCAATGACTAAGCTTTCCTAGTGGATTGAGCATTAGTAGAGTGAAATTTGCAACAGTGAGATAGAATTTGAGAAGTTGAACCTGTTGGCAATGAAAGATTTATTCACTGAGCGTGAACTAAATGAAAAAAATGCAACCTATGTTGTTATTGGAACTACAAATTTTTACTTTCGTTAAATGGCTTTGATTATTTAAAATTAAGCAATTTTCCAAATCTGGTGTTTCTACTACTGAAAGTGTTAAATTTCATTTAAATTGCACATCATTAATTGTTAAACATGGATTTAAAGTAATGCTGGAACATCTTAATTTAAACTTGGTGGATTCTGCACTTTGTTTCAAAACTCTTAATGCAACATGTTAGATGTCCAAAATTTAACATTTAATCTGTACTGAGTGAGTTGATTATTTGATCTTTTTGGTTTGCTGGCTGAAAACATTCCTAGGTGAGAATGGGCTAACTTAGCTGGGTTTGCACCCCTGATCATTTTGAGCACAGTCACATGCTGTTATGAAATGATCTAGTCATGATTATAAATTGTTATCCATGGGTGTGATCTTGCTCTTGCTCATTAAATGATGGGTGGCTCACCATTAGAAGTCTTCCAATTGCACAGAACTGGTACAGTGCAGAAGGAGGTCGATCCGCCCATTGTGTCTGCACTGACTGTCCAAATGAGCATTTCACTTTGCTATCCTGCTGCCTGCTCTCGCCCCATCAAAAAACCCTGTGCAATTTTCCTTTAAAATGGCAGTTTATTTCCTTATTTAGAATGGTTCAATTGAATTTTCATTCACTATACTCTAGAGCAGTGCATTCCACACCTTAACCATTCAGTGTTTGAAAAGGTTTTTTCTCATCACCACCTTTTTTTTGTTTCTTTCGCCAAGTCAGCTGGTTTATTCTTTGCTTATCAAGATGGGGAGTATTGTTGCTGGGAATTTGAATATTTTCTGTTTGATGTATGCAGTACTGATAATCAACTACACTCCATGCAGCCCGTTACAGAGATAAGTTACCTATCCCACCTCCTACCCAAATATCAGAAGTGCCCCCCAGTGTAATAGTTATCCATTCTTTACACCAGCTGCTCTTTGCCTCTGAGTGAGGTTGCCACTTAGAGCACTTTGCTTGTAAGCTAAGGTGAATGTAATTAGAATAGTTCAAATGTGTTTCAGATATGATCTGTACTTTTTTTAAAATTGTTAGACATCTGGCTAGGATCTGAACCTAGGACCTATACAGAAAGTCCAGTGCCTAAGCCACTGAGTCACCCAATTTCCCCTGAGGTACTTTATTTCCCATAAAATGGATCATTGATTGCACTGCACAGTTTGGATACTGTTCTTTCTATTGCATGAGTTAGTGCGTCCTTTCCACTTTTGCTTCCCTCCTTCCAAGCCTGGGAATTCTCATGCCAAGTTGTGCCCTTTGTTGCTAGCTAACTTGGCTCAGGATCAGCATTTGGGATCTTTTGCCCTGTATGCCTTGTCTTTATTTATATTAAGGCTGTTTTATCTGCCCTCATTATCTACTTGAGCCAGTGCAGTTGACCTAGCCATAAATCTACTTAATAATGAAAGTCTACAATCCATGCAATGATTTGAAAGTTTTTGACTTTTGCTGTTAAATAGATAGCAAATTGGCTTTCTGAGGTGACTGACTGATTGTGACTTTTCAATTTGCATAACCTGTTTAGATGGTATTAATGCAAGTTACTAGTATTATTGAAGTATATAAAATGCCATTGAATGTTGCATCAAATAAACAAGCTACTCAGCTTTACCCACCACTCCATGTGTAGCCAGTTCCTCATTACTGTTTCTCCTAGTTAAATAGCCATTGCTAATAAATGTACAAAGAAAACCCTCCTAATGTGTCAACATGTCAGAGCCATACTGCGTGGATCTTTTATCAACAGCTGCAAGATATATTGTTCTATATTTTTATCAAAATAATAGTTGAAACCCACTTTTTAGAATTGTATCTGTTTATGGAATGAGATTTAACTTCTGTACAAAAAAACTTCTAATATTTTTCTCCACCTATTAAGGTTTTAACACTTGATCCTACTCTTCATATGAAGCCACCTGCAGCATTTTCTTCGCGATATGATTTCTCTACTCCGGTAGCAGTTTCAGAATCTGACACTCCATCTTCAGTCAGCCCAGACTCCATCATGAGTGTAACTATACATAGCTATTCTGATCATAATTCAGAATTACGTGTAGATACATTGCTAGGATCAGAATTGACCAGTACTTCCGGATGTTCCCAACAGAAGACCTTGTCACCATTACAGAACTGGAATCTCCATCCTGCCTCTCGAGCCTCCTCTGCTGTCAACAGTCCACACTCTAAAAATTTACAACCGACAAGGAATGCAGGCTCATTGCATGATCAAGTAGAGAGGTGCAGTTCTACATTGACACAACCATCTGTGCCCTGTATTGGGCCATCGGGGATTAAAAACAGTGTAAGTGGCTCAATGGATCATCGTGTATCTGCATCATCTCTTGAAGATCCTATTGTGTTATCTATGTAAGTAACGCTTAATTTAAAAAAAAGACTTCATACTTTAAGAAATTTCGTTTTGATTTGTTGAAAATCTGTTCAGACATCTCAACTGTTTTCAGACAGCTTTTGATGTTTAAACTCACTTTAGTGTGTTGGGCCATGGTGTCATCTGTTTTCAGTTGTTGCTGAATTTTGCTTTTATCATAGTAACACTGTACGCATACAGAATATGAAATTTTCCGGATCATATTTGCATAGACAAATAATAGTTCATATGTTAAATACAATATTGTACATTCATTCCAATTTACACTGTGAACATAAATTCAGACTCTTTTGTGATGGAATATTATTTCTAGAGCTCGCCTAAATCTACGTGAGAAGCATGCACGTCATGTGGCTGACATTAGGGCATACTATGAGGCAGAAATAAACAGCCTTAGGGAAAAGTTGGAAAGCTTAAATGGATCTTCAACAATATTTGAAGCAGAGAAACATAACAAGGATCTTATAAAAAGGTGATTTTTGGTTTCAATGAAACATGCATTTGACTTAACCAATATATTTAACTTCCTTTACCTCATCTGCAGTTCTTCTGTTTAATTTTTCATTTAAGTGCATAACAAAATGTATATTTTTGTAACAAAAACAGAAATTGCTGGAGAAGCTCAGTTAGTCTGGAAGTATCTATGCGGCGAAAGCAGATTTGATGTTTCAAGTCCAGTGACTCTTCTTCAGAACTTCTGTTGCAATGGAAAAAACGATTTAAAAAAATTGAGATGACCATCGCTTGTTTTTCGTTTCAGTATTCTCCTCAATTCTCATCAAGATGCTAACTAATTCTTCATATGTTACATTGGCATTGTCAGGCTCACATAATCATAATGTTTAGATCAGCTATGGGAAAAGGGTAAAGAACCATCCAGAGTAAAAATAATTACTGAAGGACGACCAACTTCAATGTAATGAGAACAGATCTTGGCTAGGTAATTGGAATAGAAGATTGCTGGGCAAACCTGTAACAGAACAGGAGGCTGAACTTAAAGGGGAAATGGTTCGGCTTCGTTTGAGAGAGGTTCCTGTAAATGTTAATAGGAAGACAAACAAAGCCAGACCTTCCTTAATGATAAGTGATAGAGTAATGTAAAGTAAAACAAAGGTGCATATCACTGAGATAACAAGGTGTAGAGCTGGGTGAACACAGCAGGCCAAGCAGCATCAGAGGAGCAGGAAGGCTGACGTTTCGGGCCTAGACCCTTCTTCAGAAATGGTTTCTGAAGAAGGGTCTAGGCC